ATAGAGGGAGTGGTCAATTCAAATTAAGCTGCAATCTTGACCAAACATTACCAAGACAACCTCTTAACCCTTTAACTCCCATAAGTGATTAATACGTAACTTCTCCTTATAACATCCACACATTATCCTGGCAACATGTATTAAGAATACTCAAACTTATCAGGTAGGTCAGTTAGTAGTCTTGATCTAGCACCAAACACTTGTGACTTATTTACAAGGAAATGTGTAGCAACTAGAAGGGAGAATTAACAATCTGATCTTGGGAGTTAAAGGGTTAAAAACACACGGAGAAAGTCCATACTTTAAACTCGCTGATGTACACATTACATAAATCAGTAATGTTCGTGTTTTAAAAGTGATAAGCCATCAATGTTGACAGCGATGGTGGTGATCAGAGGTATGAGTTAATATCCAATGCGGAAGGTTGAAAGAACTCCAAAACAAAAAACATAATATATGCGTTCTTTCACAGAAGTTTCCTGCAACCAATTTTCCAAGGAGTAATAAACTGAGTTATATGAATCGATCTTTAAGGCAATCCAATGGAAGCGTTCTCGAAATACAGAAGCAATAAGAAATATTTTGGTTGCTGATTTTAAAAATAAGGAGCATTCTAGTGTCAAAAAGTAATTCCCATCATTTTCACCACATCTCAGTTACGCATTAAGTAAAACTATCAATCGATCGTTATTCTTTGAAATTTTGAATGAACTCAGAGAAGTAGGAAGATCTTTTGGTTTTCTTTTTCAATTTTAATATTAAATTATTCGTTTATTGAAATTTGTCTTGTCTTTAATCAACAGTGAAAGTATGGCCACCTCTGCAAGAAATCCCGTCAAACAAAGTGAAAATCCTCTCTACATAGGCGGGTTAGCCAATGAGTATTCATACTTTACATTTTTTGAAAGACAAGATCAGTTGGTTTGTTTGTTTGTTGTTTTTATTTTCAGTAATTTATAACTGTTTTTTGTTCTCTCAGTGCTGAAAGCGGGAAGACAGCTGATGCAGGAATGTATGAAAGGTAGGGAAGTATTCCTCTCTACCTAACACCGGCCCTGGAACAGAAAACTGCCCCCTAAATCAACCAATCCCAGCATGTGCCGTTACTGAGAGACAAAATCTGAGAGAAACGATTAAGAGGCCTGATCGGAAACAGGAGTTCACTACAGACAGCATATTCCCGATTTTCCACTTAAAAAATACACATTCATCAAAAGTGAGCTACGCATTAAAAAGCAAAACTACCAAATGATTCCATCAAATGAAACGTATATAAATTAAATAACATTATACCAAGATCGTTCTTCTTGCGACAGTCTTTCATTGAGTAAACCGTAACTGCATTCAAAGATCATGGTTCCTATCAACTGCCCCCTCCCCTTCCCCCACCCTCTATGGCTTCAAATACTTTTTTTTTTTACTGTTGTTCTCAAACTTTTTTCAGTTTGGATCAGCGTGACCCAAATCGTGATGAGGGCATCTACAGTTCACTGTACGAGAGGTATCTATCATAGATTTAAGTTAAGTGTTTGCCAATATCCCAACCTACCATAAATCCTCTGGTAAATCACGGACCAATTGC